TTCCGTTTTAGCCCCTTATTCTATTGAAAATATGTTTGATCAGGTTTGAGGCTGTAGGTAATCCCTTGATTACTGGCCAGTTATGACCTTAATCCCTGGGGGCGGGTTCGAGTCATGACAACCACCAATCCTCAACTCCAATTAACCACTATAATCCTCATCATAACCATCATGACATTTCTTTCTCTATAACACCCATAGCAATGTGATGCACCATTGTGGCCCCAATTAAGAGACTAAAGTTGTTGTTGCAGACCACTGATAGCACAGAACCACCACCACTACTGCTGATTTTTGTTGGGGTTGATTTGTTGTAAATCAATTATAATATAGAGCTTATTAGTTTATATCATATCTGGAATCAAAACAAGAATCTTGTATCAAAGATAAAATGGGTTGATTTTTTGGAAGTCTTGTGGATTTTTTTGAAAGGGATGATGGGTGGTAGTGGTGATTAGATCAATTGGATTTGTAGAAAACAGAGTGAGGGAGAACGAAGCAGTAAATAAGAAAGGGATCGAGAATGGTGGCTACCCCCAAAAGCGTAGTCACACTACTAAATCGAAGGCCATAATGTGGTGTGAAGGAGTTGGAGGAGAAAGGAGATGGCGGTGACAGTGCAGTGAGGCGACAGTGGTCATAATGGACGACCTCAAATACAAAGAAGATCCAAACCACCAACCCGAGATTTTTCGATCTCACTGGAACCAACGGCAAAAACAGAGGAACAATTCTTTGCACTCTACAAAGAAAGATCCTTCCGATTACGTCACAAAATACTCCAAATTAAAAACATTTTCGAGGGATCACTTCATCTAAGGGGAAAAATCCTTCAAAGAATAGAGACGAACTCTAGCGGGGAATACTTGCAAAAGCAGAAATAGAGGACAATTAACTAATGGAAGGGTCAATTTGTATTGTGACTATAAACCTCATGGAGGGTGTTATATTATCAGAATGTGAGGGGAGAATTTGTATTAAATACAAACCTCAATGGGTGTCATTGTAATTTGTCCAAATTGTTTTTTTTTTTACCAAGTGCACCTGTTTGTTTTAATATTTGTTTTAGTTTTTTTTTAATATAGAAATAATTTTTTATTTATTTTATATAATAATAATTTAAGAGTCTCATCATTAATCATCTCTCATATTATCATTATAACAATCACTCTTTACTTAATCTCCTCATTAACAACCTCTACATTAACAATCTCTTCACTAACTATCCTCTTACTAACAATCTCATCCAACCTAATCCGTCAAACAAACGTGGCCATTAGGTATTCACCAACTCCATCCCGAAGCTAATGGGGATTCACCAACCAACTCTATAACCAATTCGTAAAGGAATTTTTTGGTGAAAAACTGCTTCTATATGAGCGGGTTAGTGCGGGTCCCCATCAAATCGGTGCACCGTTGCCATCCCTATTTACCACCCACCATCTCTATTATCGTCCCTTCCACTCTCTTCTCTCTCTATCAAGAACAAGATTGATCGTAGATAGAAAAAGTGGATAGTATTGCTAGTGGCACCACAATGGAGTACTGGAGGTGATCTCGATGGTATTGGTAGTGACAATCGTGATAGAGGTGCTATTCGTTTCAATGGGTACTTATGCCATAAAAAATAGTTTGCAAGATGCAACATATTATATTATACAACAAAACACTCATTATTCTTATTATTTTGAACGAATTATAGCTCATAACCAATTTAATAGGTATTTATTTGTATAGTTTAAGTTTTTCAAATTATAAAATTATATTTTTGCCCATCAAATTACGATCGTCTCCAATTGAAACATATGGATGAAAATTAGAAACTTTAAAACCTAAATAAACAAAATTAATAGTTAAGGAATAAAACTGAAAAAGGGTAAATTACATTTTATACCCTTTTAATTTGATTCACATTTTGGCTCCTATTATTTCAATTTGAACAATTTGATCTCTATGTTTCAGGTATAGTTTCAATTTGGTTATTCTATTTGTCTACATTTAAAGAGACTGACTAGTATTTCAAATTTGTTAATTTCAACTTCAAACTTGAACAAAACGACCAAATTGAAATTAAACTTAAAGCATAGGAATCAAATTGCTCACTTTGAAATAACAAAGACCAAAATATGGTCAAACTACGGTGATTAAAAATATAATTTATTCATAGAAAAATTTAGGATTAATTATATTTTTCATCGTAGTTTGACTCAAATTTCACATTAGTTCCTATAGTTTCAATTTGAATAATTTGATCTATACACTTTAAGTCCAGTTTAAGTTTGGTTCTTCTATCTAAATTGAAAGTTAAAATTAACAATTTTAAGATACTTGTCAATTTTTTAAGATTTCAATTTGGTTCTTCTGTCTAAATTGAAGGTTAAAATTAACAATTTTGACACATTTGTTAATTTTATAAAGTGTACATATAGACAAAATTAATAAAAATTTAAACGGAATGATCAAAGTAAAACTAGACTTAAAGTGTAGGGACCAAATTATTTAAATTGTAACTATAAGAATTAAAGTGAAATTTGGATCAAATTATAAAGAGTAAATTACATTTTGCACCTATGCACTTTGCACCAAATCTCATTTTGGCCATTACTCATGAAATTGTGACAATCAACTCTATGCACTTCTAGTTAAGTGTCAATATTCCCTTTTTGTTACTACACCGTATAAGTTTTTAATAGAAGTCAGTAATATGACAAACATATGACTATGAAATAAGGGCAAAAAAGAAAAATCACTATCATTTCCCGCTTATACACATTTTGTCTTAAAATTTACATCAAATTATAAATATATTAGCCTAAAATAAAACGCAGATTGTGAACAATTAAGAGGGTGAATTAGGGTTTGCAAAAACTAAAATCACGAAGTTCTGTTTTTTACAATAACACAATTTTCTGTTTTTTACTTTTCTTTCTTTTCAATTTCTTTGCTGTCTTTTTTTTATTTTAAAAACTCTGTTTTCTTACCCCTTCATCTAAATTTTTAGTATATAAACACACACACACTCACACATAATGGTGCTATATGCACCAATTGGTATACCATTTAGTGTACCAACATATGTTATGACATTATTACTGACTTCACCTATTATACAAATTATAAATATCCAAAACTTCAAAAATTATGCCGCATCATCTGTTTGTACACTAATTGGTATACCAATTGGTGCATACAGTATTATTCTATATATATATATATATATTATGTTATATAACTCTTACGTGCTTATCACATGGAACAAAGTATGTATTGATGGGAAATGAGAATGATTTATCACATTCCTGTCAAATGACTAAATTATGTTAAAGATTTAAACAATAAAAGGAGGACATTGATACTTATATAGGGATCAAAGTGAGATTTGACAAGAAGTGTAAAGGGTTAACTGTCACAATTTCATGTATAGAAATCAAAATAAAATTTAGTGCAAAGTGCAAGGTGTAAAGAGTAATCTATCTAATTATAAGATTGAAAATTGCAATTAATTGAAAAGTGCCCCTCCAAACGGAGTGTAAGGGAAAAAAGTCAAATTGAATTAAATGCAAAAGGATATTGAATCCAGATCATTTTGTTTGTTTTTAAAAAATTGAGCTCATTTTTCAAAAAAATTAATTTTTTTTTTAATTTTTTTTGTATATTTTTGTTTTTAGTTAAAAATTTTAATACTTTAAGATTTTTTATTTATTTTTTAAAAATTTATCTAATCTAAATATACTTAAAAAGTATAATATTTATAAAAAAAAATTAAAAAATTCATCAAATACAAAAAAAAAAATATTAAAAAATACAAAAATTCTATGGATGTGTTTGGTTTGGTTTTTGGAGATAAATTTTCAAAAAAAATCTTAGGGAATGAGTTTAGAAATTTTTTTAGTTTGTTTGGTTTGTTTAGTTGTATATTTTGGAAATAGTTTTGGAGTGTGAGAGTTTGAGATGATTTGATATTTTATTGTAGTTGAGTAGATGTGTATGAAAGAAAAAATGATTGAGAATGATAGAGGAGAGAGAAAAATTGATCGATTGATGTGTAGGAGATAAAAAGTGATTTTGGAATTTTTTTTGTTCAAAATCACTAAACCAAACAAAATGTTAGAAAATTTGTTTCTCAAAAACAAACCAAACAAGGCCTATACATTTTTGTATTTTTATATATTTATTAAAATTTTTAAATATTTTTTCACAAACAATATTTTATTTTATAAATATATCTAAGTTATGTGTATTTAAAAAATAAAAAAATTATTAAAAATATTAAAACAAGTCACGAAAAATAAAAAATTAAAAACGCAAAATATAAAAAATTAATTTTAAAAAATAATCAAAATTAAACAAAGTCAATTATTTTATTTTTAGGAAATATTTTAGACCCTTAAAAAATAGAATAATGTTAAAAATATTAAATTTTCTACTAAATGACCAAAATGCCTCACGACAATCAATCATTTGGTAAAAAAAAATTGAAGCCTATGGGTAGCGTTTGGTAACGTTTACGTTTTTTATTTATGTTTATAAAATTTTTATAAATTAATTTTTGTTTATTTTTAGAAAAACATAAATTACAAACGCGTTTGGTTTGAACAAAATGTTTAAAAAAATTTAAAAACATAAATTAAAAAATATGTTTGTTCAGGCATAAAATATTTATATTTATTTTTTATTATTTATGACAATGGGATCACACACATTATAATTGAAAAAAATTAATTAAAAAAAATTTGAAAAAAAATTTAATTGGGAAAAAATATTTGGAAAAAAATTATTTGAAAACAAAAATAATTGAAAATAAATTATTTGGAAAAATAATTAAAAACTAAAAACATAAACTCATTTTTTGAATTTACGTTTTTTTTCAAATTTATAAACTGAGACAACTATTTATAAACTAAAAAATTATTAAATAAATTTTTATGAAATTTTTTTAAACTTTTATAAATAGAAATCAAAAATTAAAAACGGAAGACATAACATTTTCTAAAAAAATAATCACAACTCTACCCACTGAGAGATGAAACAGTTACAAGGATGAGTTTCACACTTCTGATTGATCACGAACCTGTCTTCGTCTTGCATTTATAGCGAAGAGTGAGAAACTTGGCCATTAGAGAGATATGGGGGATGAAGCGAGTCTTCTGAAGCATGAGATTTCAAGCACGAAACCTTTAATGGAGATTCGAGACGGTTATAGCATTGTTATTTCATCTATTTCAATCAATAAATGCCCTAGGTTTTTTAATGGGTTTTCAAATCTGAAATTTGTTTGCATAATCAATCCTGTGCATCTATAACTTGACAAAAACCCAATACAATATTCAATGCAATTCAGATCTCCTTTTCTATGATAATTAAACTCGTGTTTGTACTTTGAATACTTCCAATGTCTTGCAAATTGAACTCATCAAATCATTTCAAAACTTCCCAATACTGTTCCAAAACCGAAGATCAAACTTTTCATTTATGCCATTTCCTTTTTGTAATTCCCATTCTTTTTTCCCCTTCTAAAAGAAAGTACAACAATTTTGAAATTTTTTAGACTATGTTTGGATTGAGTGATTTGGAGAGAAAAGAAAAGAAAAGAAATTGAGAGATATGTATTTTTTTTACTTGTTTGGATAATCTAAATAGAGAGAAATGAGAAAAAATGGAAAGAAATAGAGAGAAACTCATTTATCTTATAAGCCTCATTTTCAATCTTTCCAAAAGTGGAGAGATTGTGAGAGTAAAGAAACCACTATTTTCATAATACCAATTTTGTTATAAAAATAAAAGAAATAAAATGATTGAAAATATAAAAAGGTTATTTTGGTAATATAACATAAAATAATTTTTTTTTTCTCTTAATGAAATCTAACCAAACAAGAATGAGAGAAATCACAATCATTTCTTTTCTTTTATTTTTTCCTTATCCAAACAAAAAGGAAAAAAATTACAATTATTTTATTTCTTTTCTTTTCTCTTATAACTTAAGCAATCCTTTCTTTTCTTTTCTCTCTTAAGTTCCCAAACATAATGTTATAGTTTTTTTTTTTTTCAATTTTTTATATTTTTGTGTTGACAGGTAAACAGTTTTTGAGATCATTAACCCTCATTTCTCATTTACCAATTTTATGGAATAGAAGTCTCGTTCCGAAAGAATCGTTGAGGGCACATTTCGCACCGCATGAAGTAAGGACTCACTTTCCACGTACCTCATTAATTACTTGTATTATTTTCTGTTTTCTATTAAGAGTAGTGATATTTAAACAGAAAATTATAATACAAAATAAATTGACAACTTTTAGTTTTGAGACTAGAAAATTATACCAATTCAACAAAAGCCTTTGGCTAAGAGGTACTGTAGCTGGTATTCTTGTGATAGGTTTAATATGTATTTTCTTTTATGCTTGGTATTCTGGATTGGGTTCAATCTTGGCTAGGTATGATTAAATTTGAAGACCTATTTAAAATATGTTACTTTGCAACCACAAGTTTAATTTGGTTGGGTTCAATTGCACATTCTAGGATACTCTGTGATGGTTTTTCTGCCATAATTTTTTTTTTTTTTTAAAAAAAAAATTTAACAAGACACATTAGTAAAGTACATAATTCAACTCTCTATTTTACTTATGGAACTTTTGTTGCACTTTTTATTAGGAATTAGGAAAAAAAGGGAAGGAAGATTACAAAGACTGCCATGTAGAACATATAACGTCAACTTTGTATGAGATGTTAATTTTGAGAGTTTGGAAGTTTTGGAAAGCACACTAAATTTCACTACAACAATTTATACTCTTGGTGACTAAAAGAGATTTAGTTACCAAAAGTTCAATTTTTGGCTACTAAAAATGATTTTGGTCGCCATTGGTTTAGGTTTTTGCTAGTAAATTATTTCAGTCGACCTATATTATTTAGTGGCAACTAAAAAAAACGTTAGTCGGTAAATATTTCAAAATAGGAGACTACAAAAAATAGTAGTTGCCGTTACTCTAGTTTTTAGGCTACTAATTTTATTTTAGTCGTAATATACTAATTTTTGCCAACTAAAATAAATTTCATAATTGCACTGTTAATCTTTGGTGACTAAGAGTTTGGTCGGCAAATATGCAGTTTTGGCGACTAAAAAATATTTAGTCGCAGTATACTCAATTTTTCCAGATGAAAGAACAATTAATCGCCAAATAGTCAACTTATGTTGACTAAAAACATTTTAGTCACTAAAAGATTTATAAAATTTTAGTGCAAAAATATTTATAATTGGCACCTAGATTTACATCGCTTTCCTCTGTCTCTCTCTCACACAGAGAACCTCACCTCTTCTCACTTTACTGAAGTCCTTCACCACCGTTGCTCACATCCATCGCACATTGCCACTGCTGCAAATCACCACCGCCACCCCCGCAATACGAACAGGTTCTTTCTCTCTCTCCTCTCTCTCTCGCTCTCCCCCGCTTGCTCGCTCTCTGTCTCTGTCTCTCTCTCTCTATCTCTTCCTCTATTTCCCCATTTATCAATCTTGCTCTAGGTTTTACATGATTTATTGAATTTAATTTCGTGTTGATTTCTGAAATGGGTTTTGTTTTAACTGGTTTGATTTCTACAGTTTTATGGGTTTGATATGGGTTTGCTTATTCTGTGGTTTGATACCTTTCCCCTTTTTCTCCTTTCTCTCTCATTTGATTGTGTATGTATTTGCATGTATGGCTGCTCATTGATTGTGTAGGGATTATCATGTACTCGGATTATTTGAATTGAAATTTGACGCTATGATTGCAATAGTAAAGAATTTATTTGCTTCCCTTTTATGATTATTTCTCAGACAATTTTTTGGAATTAAACTAAGTTGAAAATATTGTGGTTTCAGGCTGGTTTTGAGGTCTTCTAACCATTTCATATAATTGAATAGATGTTTTATATCTCTTATTACAGAAAGAAGTGTTAGGGAAAATCGATGTGATTCCCCACAAGTAAATCAATCAACCAATTGGGTCCCACACACCAATAAGGAGGTATATCCCAACAAGAAGTTACTGATTTGGGTAAAAGGTGTGAAATGGTTTCTGATTAGCTTCATCTGTGGATGGAGTATTAGCTTAATTAGCAGCCATGTGGTACTTCTAAACTTCTTTCTTGTTTTATTTCAGAAAACACAAAACGAAAATGAAATTTTTGAAAATAACTCCAAACAGTGTTGTTAACCTTTTCTCATTATAGAAATGAGACAAACAACTTCCCACATTCCCTAAGAAGTCCAATTTTTTGATCTTGACTGAGTTCCCTATCCTTAAAAAGTTGTTTGGCCTCTCTAAGATAGTAGACCTGTCTATCCGGCTTCAAACTCATCAGGTACCATCTGTTGGGACCATCTTGCACAGAAATTGGAACCGCCTTCATCCATTTAGTCAGTGTGTTCTGCTCTCCTATGTCAAGGTTTGGGAGGATATGATTTTCAAACATTTTTGTGGGCAACTGAACACATTTTTCTCTTAAATCACTTTAGTTAGTGATTTAGTGACTGCCCATTGTTGAGTAGTAGATGATGACTAAACTCTCTTACCTTTCATTGCACAGTATGATGTACAAGTGTGTATAGGGAAACCAAAACAAAAGTATTGTTCCATGTCATCACTAAAAGGACCTGGGGCATCTGTTCTTAAAGGCTTTTAAGAAGGCATTGTTTAAGTCAGGAAGTGAAATGAATTAATAAATCTCTAAGAACTATTTAGTATGCAGTTTATCATATACTGAAATTTTCAATGTATTGTCCCTAATTCATATTTGAGACCTGTGATGTTGATTTTGTTAAACTGTTAGTAACACAAGTTGATTTTGCAAAATTAATGTCAAAATGTTTGTCATTTATCTTAATTTCTGCTACAGTTGCTCTTTGGTTTTGCTAGAGACTGTAGGAACATTTTGTGGTCAGTATAAATCTTAAGTTAGTTAGCTTATTACATGTCTTTCTCTAGTTCTACTTCAATAGAAAATCGCACCTAATTTTGTGAGAAGTACTCTGAATTTGTATTTCTCAGTCCTATTTGCTTTACAGATTATGCTCTTCTAGTTTCAGGGAACCTTTTCTATTCATTTATTTTTCAAATGAAATAAATATAACTTGGGAAATAAAGAAAGGCCTTGAATTTTAAGTTTTAATTTAACATTGTCAAAGAAGTGGAGTTCTCATGATATTCTACAATTTGCAGGGTTGAAGTCCCAGTCAGGACTTGAGTTTTTGAGTATTACTAATCAATCAAGAAAAATTAAAAATTAAAAAAAAAAAGAGGGTGACAAAGTGTTTATAGAAGTTGAAACCTAAGAATCAATCAATCATAGAGCGTCTTCCCCTATTAAATGGTTCCTAACTGGACGAGTGAGGAGTCACAACAATATTGTTTTATCTGGCTGCACTCTTCACAAACGTTAGAAGATATTTGGAATGTTGTTAGCTTGGTATGGGAATTTTTGTCTCTTTGTGGTGTTTCTCACCAAGTGGCAACCAAAGAGAGAGACCCTTACTTGTTTCTCCTTCCGATGAGAACTTGAGACAGAGAGGACTGGGCTTTCTCCCTTACCAGTTCTTATTTACAGTTAAATTGTTGGACTTGTTATGGAGGAGGAAATGGTTTGCAGAATTTCTGGGTTGTAGTTTATGAAATTTTTACTATTAATCAACAATGATATTGATGTTGGTATTGGAAACAGCACACAACTGTGTATGTTTATGAAGTTACTGCGTGCAACATTTGTCTGTTGACATTGATATTCATTTTAACTTGTCTGGTATCCCCATTAACAAAGTACAGAGGCATATCCCGCACATCTTATTTCAATCTAGAGTGCTGACATCTTATTGATTGGGTATGAAATTAAACTCAGCCTTGTTTAGAAATAGGCTATTTTAATAACTTTTTAGTTTTTTACGAAAAGATGTACAGAAAAGTAGAGAGGGTGATGTGACAACTTATAGCGACTTTTTGACTTTTTGGCTAAAATGTATAGTTGACAAACGAGGCCTATTCTCATTGATCTCAAAACACATTTTGTTACAATGGATTTATTTGTAAATGCTGTCAATGTCCCCTTGGAACTACGGTGATAGATATTTTGTGAAGTATAGACATACACTTCTGCATGAGACTCTTGTACTTTTAGATCCTTTTGCTTATTAGTATTATACCACCAATAATGCTTCTTCTTCTTTGTTTGGGCATATCTGCATCCTTTTCCTGGTCATATACAAATTGCTTAAAATTTATTTTGTGCTCCTTGCAATTATTTATCATATTTACTGTATTCTCCTAGTACTGTTACCAGGATTGATAGCTTTTTTTGTTTCATGAAGTTCTGCCCGATTTTGCACAAGTATACAGCTTCATTGGCAGTGTCTTTGACCCAAACACTACTGGTCAGTTGCAAAAGCTAAAGAAGATGGACCCAATTGATGTTGAAACAGTGCACTTTCTATCCCATTATCTTTTGATTGTTTTGTGATTCTAATGTAGATGTAGTAGACTTCTTTCCTTATATGGTTCGATGCAGGGAAACAAAAAATTCCTACTTAATCGGATGTTAGAAAATACACGATGACAACTACTCCTACGTTTATGGAGAGTAATCTATTATGCATAAGCTGGAGGAACCTCTTAAAATCCTGTCCAGGTCCAGGGCTAGGGCTTCCAGGCTAGGCATTATTACATGTCAGGGGATTAATTGCAAAATAAATAAATAAATTTCTCCCTTTTAAAGTTTGTATAGAAAATACCTTTTACTAGAACAAGTTTAAAAAATGGATGTTTCATGGTCAGTCATTTCTTTCTTCCCTGCTATTGTGTGTGCTATTGTGTGCATCATAGTACGTAGCATTATTGAATGATATTAGTATCACATTTTGTATTCAAAATAACCTCAAGATAAAATGGTAATGATCAAATTCCATGATTGTGCTTATTTGGTCTTTTGCCCTACTTGACTTTATAATATAAATTGCTTTTTTTGCATTGGCCTTATCGTACAGATTTATGTTATTTAGTTGACCTTCGCTTCAGTGACTTTAGACCTGGATTAAATGCTAAAGAGATTGCTCCTAGAAGTACACATGCCCTTTGGAAACCACATTTGTAACTGTTCATTCTTTTTGACTCCTTTCCAGGTGCTACTGTTGATGCAAAACATTTCCATCAATTTGACTAGCCCAGACTTTGAGGAACATGTAAGTGCCATTTCCACCAAGTGTTGCTTTATATTTTCTCGGCATCTACTACGTGAGCATAGTTTAGATGATGGATCTGATTACCTAAACCTCATTTAATATCACTTGAATTAGAGAAGCTATAATGCATTACCAAGTTCTTCATCACCTCAAGGTTCTATTTAGTTGCCTTGTGCTTTCTTTGTTTCTGGCCCAGTATTTAACTGTACGTTTGCTGCCTAATTAATTGCTCTTGATTCTCTATAATTCTCAAATCAAGAAAATCCTGATATAATTGCTTTCCATGCAAGTATTCCTCAAGGGCCCTATTGGCATTTGACTATGCAATATATATAACAGTGGCAGACACAGAAATTTTATGGATGTCACGGGCAGCTTCCTCATGACAAATAGGACTTGTGGGGACAAACGGCATGTAATTAGCACACATAGGTTGGGAGTTAGAATTGAAAACACTATAAACTTAGCCCAAAAAGGCCGTTCAGGTGGTGAAAATACAAAATAGCTCCCGAACCATTCTATGGATGACATGAGAAGCTTCCTCGTGACAAATAGGACATGTGGGGATAGACAGCATGTAATTAGCACATGTAAGTTGAGAGTTAGAGTTAAAAACGCCTTAAACTTAGCCAAAAAATGCATTTTGGGGGGGGGGAAGGGGGGGGCGAAAATGCAAAACAGCTCCCAAACCACTCTATGGATTTCACGGGCAACTTCCTCGTGACAAATAGGCCCTATGGGGACAGATAGCATGTAATTAGCACACGTAGGTTGAGAGTTGGAGTCGAAAACGCCTTAAACTTAGCTGGAAAAAGCCGTTCGGGAGTTGAAAATGCAAAACAACCCTCGAACCACTCTATGGATGTCACGTGAAGCTTCCTCGTGAAAAATAAGACCTGTGCAGACAAACGACATGTAATTAGCACACGTACGTTGGGAGTTAGAATCGAAAATGGCTTAAACTTAGTCGAAAAGGGGCGTTCGGGGGGCAAAAATGTAAAACAACCCCTGAACCACTCTATGGATGTCATGGGAAGCTTACTCGTCAGAAAATGGACCTATGGGGCTAACGACATGTAATTAGCACACGTATGTTGGGAGTTAAAGTCGAAAACACCTTAAACTTAGTTGAAAAAGGCCGTTCGGAGGTTGAAAATGCAAAATAGCGCCCGAACCACTCTATGGATATCACAGAAAACTTCCTCATGACAAATAGGACATTTGGGGACAGACGGCATGTAATTAACACATGTAGGTTGGGATCAAAAACGCCTTAAACTTAGCCGAAAAAGACCGTTCGGGGGGCAAAAATGCAAAACAGCAGCCGAACCACTCTATGGATGTCATAGACAGCTTTCTCATGACAAATAGGACCTCTGGAGATAGACGACATATAATTAACACACGTAGGTTGGGAGTGAGAGTCGAAAATGCCTTAAACTTAGCTAAAAAAGGCCGTTCGAGGGTCGAAAATGCAAAACAGCCCCCAAACTACTCTATGGATGTCACGGGCAGCTTTCTCGTGAAAATAGGACCCGTGCAGACAAATGGCATATAATTATCACACGTAAGTTGGGAGTTAGAGTTGAAAATGTCTTAAACTTAGTCGAAAAAGGCGTTCAAGGGACGAAAATGCAAAACAGCTCCTGAACCACTCTATGGATATCATAAGTAGCTTCCTCCTCACAAATAGGACCTGTGGGGAAAACGACATGTAATTAGCACACATAGCTTTAGAGTTAGAGTCAAAAACGCCTTAAACTTAACTGGAAAAGGCCGTTTGTATGGCGAAAATGCAAAACAGCACCCGAACCACTCTGTGGATGTCATAGAAAGCTTCCTCATGACAAATACGACCTTTTGGGATAGACGGCATGTAATTAGCACACGTAGGTTGGGAGTTAGAGTCGAAAATGCCTTAAATTTAGTCAAAAAATGCCGTTTGGGGGGCGAAAATGCAAAACAACCCCCGAACCATTCTATGGATGTCATGGGTAGCTTCCTTGTGACAAATAGGGCCTGTGGGGATAGAAGACATGTAATTAGCATTCGTAGGTTGGGAGTTAGAGTCGAAAACGCCTTAAACTTAGTCGAAAAAGACCGTTCGGGAGGCAAAAATGCAAAACAGCCCTTGAACCACTCTACAGATGTCACGAGCATCTTCCTCGTGACAAATGGGACCTGTGGGAAAAAATGGCATGTAATTAGCACACATAGGTTTAAAATATATGTTGTTTTTATTGAACATTATATTATTATTGCCTTATTGACAATGGTAAATGCATTTAAAAAGTTCTCTCTAAAATTTTTCTTCTTACAAATGGGTTGTGGGTTGGTTTTGGGTTAACATCTCATCTCTAGTGAACAACTCAACTAAAACAATTTGAAATACAACTTGCATTTTGCCCCTCAGCAGATGTACAAGAAGCTTTCTCACTGTCAACTTAAATTAAAATTGACGGATCTATAACCAATAAATATGCTGCTGTTGTCAACTTGAATGGTGATAGGTCTGGGATCCTAGTCCTTATAATTACTTACTCCACTCATATTACTACAATACAAATGAAATTTGACAATGCATATTTATTGATCCATTGAAATGTGGCAGATTGGGCATGTACGACCTTGACGTCCAACTCTAGTTCTTGGTGCCACCTTGTTGTTGTAAGTTTGGATGCATCCAAACCGAAGAAGATGAACAATTTAATTTACTCACCATAACCTCTAATGTTTTTGCTTGAAACTATCAAGTTTTGCATGCATTTATGATACTAATGGGTGCAATTTTGTATTATTTATTTATTTTTATTTTTTTTTGTAGATGGCTTTTGACATGGACTTGTGGATATTCCATTTGTGTACGGAGGACAATTTACATTTTTTTATAATCCTGCTATTTTGTCGTCCTCTATTTTTCTGTTGATTAGTAGTAATCGTATAGATACGTTTTGGCATGGTATATATTACTTTTGACATTGAACAAATAATTATTGGCGTGGTATATTCACTACCATTTGGCATGATAGTGAATATATTTTTTGTGTGCGTATAATTCTATATTTTGTATGGAATTATTATTTTAGGTCTCTATATACTTGGTTCGTATGAAATTTGATATTAAAAGTTATTCATTTTTTGATGGTTAGAAACAAAATGGATGCAGATTGTAGAATGGTTAATAATATATATGTATTGTTTTGTTTATATACATGATACAAGTTGCACGGAATATATACAAGTTCTGGACAAATTAATTAAAAAAAAAACACCAAATGATATTTTTTGCGAGTAAACAAATTGTAGCTAAAAAGGAAATAAATAATTTTTTGGCGACTAAAAAAAAAAACTTTAGGTGACTAAAATTTTAGTAGTTAAAAAAAATAAAAAGAAATTTTTTTTTTGGCAACTACATATTTAGTAGCCAAAACAAAATCAGACTTTAGACAACTAAATCTTTAATAGCTAAAAAATAAAATAAAACGAAAAAAAAAATTGGCAACTAAATATTTAGTAGCTAAAAAAAAAAAAAAAGACTTAAGGCAACTAAAACATTTAGTAGCTAAAAAATTAAGATGAACAAAATAAAATAAAAAATTGACGACTAAATATTTAGTCATCCTACGTAATTTAAGCTTTTGGCTACAAAAATCTTAAGTCGCTAAAAATGCACTAATTAATTTTATTCAAAAGCTTTTGGCGATTAAAAATTTCGTCGCCAATTGGGAACTTTCGGCGATTGAACTGTTTTTAGTTGCCAATTATCTTTCTCTACAATCTTTCAACGACTAATCATGGGACCAAAGCTTTTAGTCGGCAAAAATAATCGGCCACTAAAAAAGGACTTTTGGGGAATAAAAATTTAATTGTCAAAAGTGTCATTTGTTGTAGGGTTTGTATATAGATATAGTACATATAGGTAGATAGTAAAGATGTAAAAAAATTCGTAAAAATCGACCATACCAATTGAACGGGATAGAATCAGCCATGTTTGGTCCTTTTTTTTAACAATAATCGGTTTTTGCGGATTTTTAATTTATTTTTTTTTCGATTTTCGGTTCAATATCGATTTAAACATCTTATGCATCGAACTAAACCGAACCATCCGCTTCAATATGTATTGTATATACAATTTACATAATCCAATAATATAATGATATTAATAAATATAATAAATTATTAACATCAATTAATTAATCTTATCATCTCTATAACCTAAGATAGTAAACTTTTATTATATATAATCTTAATTCTAACTCATTATTTTTAAACCCTTAGTATTTAGTATTATTTTTTTTGTTTGTTTTTTTGTTAATCTAAGAACTGAAAAATATTTATTAAATGGATGGATTGGATATGTCTCAAATAGTGGACAAATAACTAATTCAATGTTTTTACATAAATTAGTGGCTATATTAAAAATGACTAAATTTTGAAAGGTCCTAGTATTGATTAAATTACACTAAACCAAGCCGTTTCAATTAGTTTGATTCGGTGCGGTTTGATAGGAGAAGCATTCTGTATCGGTACTAAAAATAATAAAAATGACATTATTAGTTTGATGAAATTTTTTATCTAAATATCGACTGTACCAAACCGATTACATCCTTAATAGATAGATAGATAGCTAAATGAAGGTCACAAAAATGACTGTCTAAAGATAGACCAAATAAGAGGTCTAATCTAACCTACCAGGAAAGAAAACCTCTCACTATCGGCGAGACTAGGTCAAAACAAACATTACATAAAATTAATAAAAGCACAACCACTCACGTCTTCATTAATTAGGTTTGTTAAAGAAATTTTTAGGGTAAATTACTTTTTTAACTCTTGTAGTTTAACTTAAATTTTACATTGATCTCTATTGTTTTAGTTTGAACAGATTGGTTCCTACACTTTAAATTTAGTTTTAATTTGATCATTTTGTTCAAGTTGGAGATCAAAATTAACAATTTTGGGATACTTGTGAGTCTTCTGAGATTCGCAAGTAAAAAAAATAATGAAAATTACACTTCTGAGTCTCCTAAGATCCACACGTAGAAAAAAATAACGAAAATTTGGACGAAAAGACCATATTAAAATTAGACTTAAAGTGTAAAGACTAACTTATTCAAATTAAAATAATAGAGATCAAAGTAAAATTTAAATCAAATTACAAGAGTAAAAAGTATATTTTACCCAAAATCTTGAGTTAGAAATATCAAATATTTACTTGAATGACTTCATGGCAAGTCTCGAGCTATTGTCACATCGAGGTAGGTTATTAATAACCACAAGTGTGAACAGGAATGGTTGAGATGTTGTAATCCATTTCACCAATAAGAAGAAAGCCCATAAGACAATGGTAGATGCATTGAGAATTTTCCCTTCAATAATTTTGGGTTTGCATTCTCTATCAAATGATAAAGAGTAGTGATATACACCGCCAAAAAAATAAGGGTAAAATACAAAACACTCTTTAAGATTTACTTAAATTATAAATTATCTCATGTGATTTTAAAAATTACATTATACCCCTTAAGTTTCTAATTTCATAGCAAATTGGTCCTTTTATTAATAAATCATCAAATTAATTAATAGTTTTTAATTATGATAAAATTTTATTTCAATTAACAATTTAGATAATTTTATTATTGTATAGGTGAACAGTTAGAAATTTTACTTTTTCAATTAATTTTGTTAAATAAAAAATTCTGACAGAGAAGAATTTGTAATTTTTCAAACCACAAGGGGCAATTCATATTTTAAGCAAAACTCAGAAGGTGTATTTGTAATTTACCCAAAAAATAATAATAAATAAATAAATAAATAAAAACCATTCATACAAAGAACTTATCATTAATAGAAAAATGCTATTCATAAAAATAAAAATATAAAATTATATAAAATTTAGGGTAAATTGCACTGATCTCACTCAAGGTATTGAGAAAATATAGTAAGCCGCACATTTTTGGCATAATTAAACTGGGCTCTCTTAAGCTATATTTGGTAGGAGGATTTGATGAAGGAAAGGGAAGTAGAAAGAAAATGAGAAGAATTGATAATATTCGAATTCCAAGTCATGTATTGTAGTTAGGTGTTTGATAGCAGCTGGCTGTTGTTGTTTATTATTCTGTTGTCACGACCCAAACCCGCCCTTATAGGTTTAGTATCGTAACCGGCCAGTAATCCTTGGACTACCGAAGGCCTCTGAACAGATTAACAAGATTAAAGGGCTAGCGGAAGCAAATACATAAATATAGTTGTCCAATGAGCTGTGCTGACTTATATGAACAGAATAGTTAAAACTTTATATAAGTATGCAACAGTCATTCATACATTCTACCCACACACATTATAGTATCTTAAGTCCAGCTAACAGAATTAAATCAAGTCATATATATACATAAAACCAACAAAACTTGAACACAGGACACTTCGAGAACCTCCACGTGAGGCACAATGGTTGGCTGACAACAGAACACAGGTCCAGACAAAAAGCCTTCAGACTCGGGCTCCAGAATGCTCACCTATACATATATATACACACAATGAGCTAAACCCTAGTGAATAATATTAAGGTAAAGGGGTTAGTGAACGAGATCCGAATATATCATAAGTAGAAAACAGACCAGAGCATAATCATTCTCATATCAGAACATAATAATGGTACATCCCATAGAACATATCACAGAACGTCTTCCGACTAGAGTAATCAGTTCCGCATACCGATTAAACACATGTCACCACAATGAAATGGCTAACGAGATCTCATAATTACTTGTATGTCATGGACCCGCATTTTCATGACGTCCCCCATGACTTGGGACTATCTATGGATGCCATAATAGATTTCAAACATGGAATATTCGTTCACGAAAACAGATATCATTTCAGAAATCAGGACTTATCATATTTCATTTGGAACGTAATTCATATGAACGTATCTTTACAATAACGTTACTCACAGTGGTTCCAGTAAGCGGTCAATCAATCCTCGAGTCTTGACCTACAATCACAAAATACGTAACACAAGCATGTCTTATCATTACACATTCAAGTGGCCATTAAGGCTTAGCTTTCATTACATTGGTTCTTTTTCTTTCTTATCACATTGCCTAAAGCACACACATTTGCAGTCTCGGAACTTAGTACATTCTTTTCTTAGTGTGTTTCTAATCCATAACCTCATTACTATGGCTTAATTAAGGCTTAGAATGCCTAAGATGCAATGAGGATGCCAAAACATGCCTTGCAACACTTAGGAAATTTTTTTGAAAATAAGGTGCACGCTCGAGCGGACATGCAAAATGTGAATGGTCGCTCGAGCGTACATTCTTTCGCTCGAGCGATCTGTAAAAGACATGAAACTTTTAGGAGCTTGTAATTCACACTCGAGCGGACTTTTTGTCGCTCGAGCAGAGTGCACGCACTCAGATTAGTCGCTCGAGCGTGAACTCCCACGCTTGAGCGTAGATGCAAATTCTGAAATTTTCAGATTGCACCTTTAAGCTCAAAACTCGACTTCCGACCTTCAAAAAGCATCTCTTGGGCCCCAAAACTTGAGATAACATAGTAAACTTGTAAAACATGAAGAATTACGGATTATTTCATAAAATCATGGCCTAAGAGTTTGTTAAAAACTCACAATTTCAACTTAAAACATGATGAATGTTCATGAACACAACATGCATGGGTTTTCTTGGTCTTGAGTTTCCCAAAACATGATCAAACACCACAAAACAACTTGAAACTTGATGATTTCCCCAAATGAAGACGAATTTCAAACATGCAAAAAAGGATTCATGGAAATCATGCTCAATTTGTAAGAAAATGTACATGCATGCATGAATTGCCGCTCAAATCTTCCTTCTAAGCTCAATACACACCCTTAAACACATAATCTTCATGTTGATAACTTAGATTCATAATTTAGGGGTTGAATTCATACCTATAGTCTTGAATTAATCTAGCTCTACCTTAGTTTTGATGAATCTAAGCCAAGGTCTTCAATTCCTTCATCTCTCTCTCTAGAATTGCACACACTCTCTCTCTCTCTAAAAGAAAACCTCCAATTTTTGCACTAAGGGGAGCAAAGAATTGAGCTCAAAAATGAGTTAAGGCTCATATATATATATATATATATTTATGGTGCTAAAACACATTAATTAGACTATTAGGCT